CCAGATATAATTTCCAAAATTATGCTTTATTTCTTCTCTAAGCCCCAGACTTAAATATTCAGCTACCTATATGACATCTTTTGACATGATCAAGCTAGCATTCTTTTTTTTTAAAGTAGAATTTCACTTTATTTTAGTCTTCTTAACCCCCTCCCTCTCATTGTATGAATTTGGAACATGAATGAGCTGGGGGATGGCCATACCAATCAAGGCTACCAATTCTCTTCACGCTCTGCCCAAAGGCACAAAATATGGGGAAAATTATACCCACTATGTTCAAATCTGTGACCTTTGCTAATTCTGCCACCCAAAGGATATAACTTTTCTTAATTAATATTAAGTGATGGATGCTAATTAAGTAGATGTTGAGAGTTCTTTCACAAGGTTTATGAATCAAATCACCATGATGTACACATTAAATATCTTACAATTTTATAGATCTATTATGTCTCAATAAAACTAAAAAAATAAAAATTGAAAAACTAAAAATTAAAAAAAATTAACATTCCAATGCAATGTAAGTCAGTGAAGGATTTCAAAACTTTACTATCATGAATTCTCTGGTGATCTTCAAACTAGCATTCTTGACTATCTTTTACGCCAATCTGTCCTCCACCAAATTCAATTTCTTCTCCAGTATTCCCTTATCAGTAAATGGAACCACTATCACTTTGCTAAAGACCAAAATTGAGAGATTACCAAGGACTTCTTACTTTTCCTTATCCCACAATCTAATCTGTCAGCAAGTCTTACTGACTCTACCTCCCAATTATATGTTGAAGCTATTCATTTCTCTGTGTCCCTCCATTGTCACCTCTCAGGTTCAAGCCATCCTTATCTCTTACCTAAACTACGGATGCTCCCTGGCGTATGATGGGAATATTTTATGATAAACCCATCATAAACTGAAAAAAATTGTAAATTGAAAATGCATTTAATACACCTAACCTACAAAACATCATAGCTTAGCCTAAACTACCTTAAAAGTGCTCAGAACGCTTATGTTAACCTATAGTTGGGCAAAGTCACCTCACTAATACTGCCCAGCATCACTAGATAGTATCATACCACTTATGACTAGCCTGAGAAATGATCAAAATTTTAAATTCTAAGTATGGTTTCCACTGAATGCATATTTCTCTTGTACCATGGCGAAGTCGATAAATTATAACTTGAATCAGCATAAATCAAGGACCATCCCTGATTCCTTTCTTGCCCTTTCATAATCCATTCTACACAGCCTCCAGAGCGGTCTTTTCAAAACATCAGAGCATTTGCCCTTTTTAAAAACCCTTCATTGACTTTTCAACGTATTTAGATGAAAACCTAAGCTCCTTATGTGGTGGCCCTACAACATCTGGCTCATGCCCGCCTCTCCATCAGTATCTATCTCATACCACTTTCCCTTATTCTCCACATTCCAGACACAGGCCTTTCTTCACACCCTAGTCGGCTTGGATCTCCTTTCACTGTTGAACTCTTAGATCCTAATCGCCCATTCTTTTACCATAACTTCTTGTCCTTCGAGTCCCTCACTCTGTTACTTCAATCACTCCATATTGTGTTCTCTCAGCCCCTGACTCTCTCCTGATCCACAAAGTTCCTTTCTATCCAGCCAAGACAATAGGACATCATCACATACAATGGTCAGCATATCAAAGCACACATTCTGAGATAAAACCAGATGTGCAAGAGACTTCTAGAAGTTAATTAATCCATTTCCTCTCCTCCAGCTATGCTGAACTTAGGGCAATTACATTAGGATTTGTGTCTCATATTCTTCATCCTTCATGTACTAGTACCTCTGCGACTTTCCTGTGCAAAATGTCCATATTCTACATCTTGAACCTCTATTCTGAAGGGACCGCTGAGTCTCTCTTGCTCTGCAATGCATTGATAGGAAAACAGGAAGAGATATGGTTAACTCTATTAGGTTATGTTTTGCTTGAGCTGCAAGGCTAAGGTTGGTTCTGATATAGGTGTGGAGCTTGAATTTATCTGTTTTTGTTGCTTTCTATAGTAATTGGTGTCCTTGAAAAAGTTTGCAAATAACTGGGTTTGGGTTTGTGCTTCTATCATGTAGACTCTTCTCTTTTTCTTTGTGTCCTAGGAAGAATTTAAGGCTGAGTAGCTTTTATAACTGAAATCAGAATTTGTGGGTGTATAAACATTAACAATGAATCAAAAAGATGATGGCCTATAAAGTGATGAATAGACTTTTATGTAATTTTTCTCAAAAAGTACACATCAAAAATCATATAATTATTAAATTCAGCTTTAACTAAGTAGAGAACAAATATCTTCAAATTATTTTGACTCAAATAATAGAAATATGAATATGTGAATGGAATTAATAAAGAGCAAGAGCTGAACCCTGGGTAATTTTGTGGAGCTAGGTTAATTTTGTAAAGCTGATTGCAAGTGATTAGAAACTTTAAATTTCTTCAGAAAACATTCTTGGAGTAAGAGCATTTCCATTAGTATTGACAAGAGAAATGGAGACACAGGGTATACAGCAGGAAGGGAGACAGAAATTATTCCTAGGGAACGTGAGGTCAAACCAGGCAGTTCAGAAAAAGCTCAAGAAGAGGAGTGCACCCAGAGGTGGGGACACGTATACAAGACTGCGGTTGGCATTCGATGGAGGTGATTGGGACGCACAGGCAGGAATTTGAAGGTCAGGCTGGAGGTCGCTGAGACGTCCTC